AGATATTTTCTTCGCCAAAACATGATTCAAATGAATGGTGAAGAAAATCAATATATTTTATTTTACTTAAATAAGTGTGACATACGAGCACACAGTCCACCTGATGTAAAAACCTAAGGTCGATTAGAAATTAAAATGCATATTCGTTGTTAAAGGAATCTACAGAGAATTTACGTTATTATCTGTGTACGTGGTCACCCCCCCCCCCCCCCCCCCCGCCCACGGAGCGATCCGAACCATTCGTGCTGCAGTCATTCAACTACAGCTCTACTACAAAAAAAATTAAATAAACATTTAAAAAAAACTTTTTAAATAACGAATGGCGCGTAGATTTATTCGCAGTGTTACAATTTTCACCTTTCGCCATTTGTTCCACAACGAGCCACATGGAATGCTACCGGCCACACTTGAAATACAGTCACAATCGATCGAATAAACTTTTGTTCTTTTGTTTGAAAGGGATTTAATTCGAAATTCTCGCCGCCGCCGCGAACGGATCTGGCAACAATTCTTATGTAATGGCTTTCCGATGGAATTGTTGTCGTTTAACCGTAAAGTTTCATATTAATTGACATTTTGATTAATGGCGTATGGCCAGATGTAAAGCATCCTGGTTGGAGCCGTTTCCGAGAAGTTTAATCGTAATATATATATATATATATATATATATATATATATATACATATATATATAAGAATTGCTCGTTTAAAGGTATAGGATTTAAATGTGTAGTGTTCGCGTAAATATAAGAAATCATCCTGCTCCTCATGAAAATCCACTTAGGGAAATACCAGAACAAAATTAGTGTGAAGATTTTTGATAGAACAAACATCTCAAAAGCATGTATGCAACATTTTCACAGATTAAGATAAAGTAAATTAGTGCCAGAATTTTTGCAATTGTATCGTCAGTCCATTTAAGGTCTACTTCCGGACCTAAGCTTTCCAGAAACTTGTAAATTTGGTTGAATACATTTTGGTTGGATTTAATTCAAAAATGTTATTAAACTAAGTTTGTATAAAAATGGTTATCATAATATTAAGGAATTTATGGATTATAATAACCTGGGAAGGGTGATCGCTAACAAGCTATTTCTAAATTGTCTTGTGTTAGTTAACAACACAAGACAATTTAGAAAAACTTCTCTTTGTTTCAGAGAGCACGAGGGATCTGTGACAGAAAAAATCTGGCCGCCGAACTTCAGCAAGTCAAGCAAGTATTGCAAGACAACAAGCTTCGGGTCCCGCGCCTACGTCACAGTGACCGAGTGAAGCCGGCCACAGTCGAGCGTGTACCTGCTGTACTACCATATGTCAGAGGAGTCACAGACAAGGTTGGCTACATCTTGAAGCGAGCTTCCATTAAAACATACTACAAGCCGCCGAAGAAGATTAGTCAATTTTTACCATCCGTCAAGTGTAATATCCCTCTACAAGATGCAGGAGTGTACAAGTTAGATTGTGAATGTGGTCTCTCTTACATAGGTCAAACAAAAAGATCCATAAAAACCCGCGTGAAAGAACATATAGCTGACGTGAAGCACCGACGCTTCGGGAAGTCTGCAGTCCAAGATCGTCCCCACCATTACATTCGATTTGATAAACCACAAATTCTCGCAAAAGAACACCGATTCCTACCAAGGATGATACGCGAGGCTATTGAAATTAAAAAAACATCCAAATTTCAATAGAGAAGATGGACGGGTGCTGCCATCTGCTTGGGATCGTATAATTAACAAAATTAAACCCAAACCCAAGCATACCGCTGCAAGACTTCATGATACTATAAGCTCGTTTTGCGTAAATCGAACCAAAAATCAATATTCAAAAACTGAAGGTAGCCGGACTAACTATGACATTGGGACGTCAAACATCTCAGTTCCCCCGCGACCATGGGTGCTGTAAAGCACCCGAAACATCGGGAATTAAAATAAGTAAAAGTAATGAAATAAACGCGACAAAATCCGTAAATTTAGTTTTATTCAATTCAATAAGTATTGTTATAATCGACATTGAATGAAAAAGTTTCTATTTCTGGTGTAATTGTGTTGTTAGATGAACAGATTTTTCGTAATGAGATTCAGATGATAAAGGAAATCCACAAAACAAAACGTGTTCCGGATTTATCTGTTTTATTTACTTAAATTTAATTCAAGGTAGGTATTTCATTTTCATTTTTAATGAACGTTTGTGCAACCAACAGTAATTTATTTGCTTTTTTACTGACGTGGTTAAATAATTAATTAACATCTTTAATCTTAATTAATTTTGAAGTGGTGGAGCCCTTTCGAACGCCGCCGAATTTGTTCAAATAGATCAAGCCATTCAAATTTGCGAGAGGGTTACATACATTCATACACACACGCGCACACACACACACACACACGCACGCACGCACGCACGCACGCCACGCACGCACGCACGCACGCACGCACGCACGCACGCACGCACGCACGCACGCACGCACGCACGCACGCACGCACGCACGCACGCACGCACGCACGCACGCACGCACGCACGCACGCACGCACGCACGCACGCACGCACGCACGCACGCACGCACGCACGCACGCACGCACGCACGCACGCACGCACGCACGCACGCACGCACGCACGCACGCACGCACGCACGCACGCACGCACGCACGCACGCACGCACGCACGCACGACGCACGCACGCACGCACGCACGCACGCACGCACGCACGCACGCACGCACGCACGCACGCACGCACGCACGCACGCACGCACGCACGCACGCACGCACGCACGCACGCACGCACGCACGCCCGCACGCCCCACGCACGCACGCACGCACGCACGCACGCACGCACGCACGCACGCACGCACGCACGCACGCACGCACGCACGCACGCACGCACGCACGCACGCACGCACGCACGCACGCACGCACGCACGCACGCACGCACGCAGCGCACGCACGCACGCACGCACGCACGCACGCACGCACGCACGCACGCACGCACGCACGCACGCACGCACGCACGCACGCACGCACGCACGCACGCACGCACGCACGCACGCACGCACGCACGCACGCACGCACGCACGCACGCACGCACGCACGCACGCACGCACGCACGCACGCACGCACGCACGCACGCACGCACGCACGCACGCACGCACGCACGCACGCACGCACGCACGCACGCACGCACGCACGCACGCACGCACGCACGCACGCACGCACGCACGCACGCACGCACGCACGCACGCACGCACGCACGCACGCACGCACGCACGCACGCACGCACGCACGCACGCACGCACGCACGCACGCACGCACGCACGCACGCACGCACGCACGCACGCACGCACGCACGCACGCACGCACGCACGCACGCACGCACGCACGCACGCACGCACGCACGCACGCACGCACGCACGCACGCACGCACGCACGCACGCACGCACGCACGCACGCACGCACGCACGCACGCACGCACGCACGCACGCACGCACGCACGCACGCACGCACGCACGCACGCACGCACGCACGCACGCACGCACGCACGCACGCACGCACGCACGCACGCACGCACGCACGCACGCACGCACGCACGCACGCACGCACGCACGCACGCACACACACACACACACACACACACACACACACACACACACACACACACACACACACACACACACACACACACACACACACACACACACACACACACACACACACACACACACACACACACACACACACACACACACACACACACACGCATACACGCATACACGCACGCACGCACGCACGCACGCACGCACGCACGCACGCACGCACGCACGCACGCACGCACGCACGCACGCACGCATGCACGCACAAGTAGTGACATTCTCGTAGAAATAGTCAGAACGGCTCCCTAGGGCCTCAAAACGTCGAGGTCTGATTAAAACTCCATTTTCGAAAACTGGGGTGAAACCAAAAACTTCCTGATTTTTTGAAAATCAATGATTTACATAACAGGACGTTAATACGTTTTGCATTCCGTAGATATTATATTTTTAAAATAATGAACGAATTGTAACAATATTTGGTAATAACTTTAAGCGCACCCGGATAATCGTGGTTAGCAAACGTTCAACAAGTATTCCACATACTAAAACAAGTTTACACATTCTTGCCAGCGGCAAGAACACGGCAACGGCACGAATCTACAGTGTGCTATTTTCGTTACAGTAAGTAACAGGGGGCGTAGCTCAGATGGTAGAGCGCTCGCTTAGCATGCGAGAGGTACCGGGATCGATACCCGGCGCCTCCAAGTTCTATACTTTTTATGACACTTGTTACACTTTTTTCGTTATTTCTTTTTAATTTGAAGATGTTTTTATGTTTCTTTTAGTTGTTAATCAGAGATATGATAAACACAAAACTATTCTAAAATGTTGATATTTTGCATATTGCAATATTTTCGCCGCAGATTTCTTTCCCTTTTCCCCATAAACCTCGACTTGGTTAGATTTTATTTACTTATTTGTTATTTTATGTACATACTTTGTGTTGTATTATTTATAACTAATATATTTTTTAAGTATTTTCAATCCCAATCTGACACGAATACTATATTATACAGTACCATTAGAAGTCATCGTGAAGTGGTTTACTGATATAAGCTGAAAATAATAAGAGGCTAATTATGGGGTAGACACATGTTCAGCACTGAATTTTTGTAATTCTTTTATAATTATTTAAATTCATGAATTTTCCTTGTTACTTATTAGTAGGAAATACATAATAAATCCAATCGAAGTCCGACTTGGTCAAACCAAATATATTTAAAGTTGTTCAAGAATTAAACGTGTAAACGTGTGACTAAAAATAAAAAAGCTGCGGTTGCCAACCCGCTGGCCAAGCGTGGCAATGACGGTGAATATCCCCCCTATGTGGCAATCTATAGGGGAGGCCTATGTTAAGTGGAGTTTATTAGGCTGTAACGGTGAGGGTTCAAAAAGCTAACGCATCATGTGCACTCACCGATCCTTTTCTTCCGGGGAAACTAAAGAACACGTCTGGTCCGTTCCTGTGCGGCATCTGACGCAACACGTTAAGCAGCTTCGCAGAGTGACGCGGCTGGAACAATTAAATAAAATTAATATGTCAATAAGTACATATAGCCATCACAAAGTTACTGAGCGTTAATGTAGAGATAATAATGGAGAAAAAGCAGGAATTTGAAATCCAAGTTATTCCAGTCCAAGTGTTTCAATAAACTAGGCTTTCATTTCGTGTAATTAATAAACCCTGATAGTGTAATATCCTCCCTACAGAAATACGGTCACAATGCGCAGGACATGATTATAGTGCGCGAGTGTATCACAGGTACACTTTCTATTCCCTCACTTTCATATTCCTGTGGAACGGTAATCCGACACGACCGGAGAGACATCAGACGCAACACCAGCGGCTTAACGTGCTTTCCGAGACACGGGGTTGTAACACTGCCACTTTGGTGCTGAGAATATCTTGTTAGAAAACCCAATAGTTGATTTTGAGCCCGAGCCGGGCTTCGAACTCGGTACCTCAAGGTCATCAGCCGCGTATACAACTACTGGACCAAAGAGGCAGTCATTAGGAGTCGAGGCTGATTGTAACATTATTATGGTATATCATAAATTGGAATCAGGTAATTGAACTCGAGATATTAACGTGGTTAAAGCCTAGCGTCAGCTATTATAGGTTGCAGCACGAATATCCGACCTATTCGATTGGAGATGAACCATGTGTGAACAGAATACAGGTGTAAAATAACAGCATATAATGCTGCTTTGTTTCGTGCAGTTAGTGACGTCAACCGGAGACACAGTTTTTACTAGAAACGAGACATAAAAAATACGATAAAAAGAAAAAAGTTAACTTATCTAAAACATCTAATTTTAAAAGCCATATTGAAAGATTTTACACACTTGCACACAACCATACATATTTGGACAAAATTTGAACTCTAGTAGGTACCATAAGATTGTATATTTATCTACTATATTGAAATAATATGTTGAAACTTGGACTTCTGAAAATCGGCCATCAATTTTTTTTCCGAAAGTAATAGAATATTTTGTACTAATCAACGACGACTAAAACAAGTTGCAGAAACAACATATTTTTTAATTTGTCAATTTTGTCAATGGCAACTTATGTTATGGTATGTGATCAAAAACATAAAGCGAAAGATAGAAATCATACTCGGGAGGCATATATTTCGTCTTATCTTTTCATACATGAAAGGAATTGTAAGGAAAATTAATATCGCCATGCATGACATTGATATGGATACATATTATGTAAGATTTAGCTTCTCATAATGAAGATGAGATAAAATATTTGTACGTTGATGTAATAATATACATTACAGAAACATTCCATACATCACGCGGAAGATTAACAAATAAACTTGGAAGCTTTCTTGAAATTTGATTTCATAACGGGAGTAGCTCTTTTTCTTCAAATCATACTTTCTTTCTTCACCGACCGACGACATCAACTCTAGCTGGACATGGACCTCTGGAGCATAGGGAAGATTTATCTTAACCGTCACGCTTGGTGGGATATATACTCTCATATAGGCTTTTAAAACTATCTAGAATCCAATTGTTATCTAGAGTAATTTATTTTAAGTAACGGCCTACTACGTTCCACTCCTGATCACAGGCCTCCTCACAATTCGGAAAAGGTTTTGGGTTCGATCCCCGGCACCAATTAAATTGTTAATAGCAATTTTAAGTGCTCATTAACCAGGTGCTTGGTGGTAAAGGAAAATATCGTGAGGAAACCTGCATGTCTGAGGAATAAGAAAAAAATATTTCACAGACATGTGAAGTTCGCCCACACGCGTTAGGGTAGCGCGATAGACATTTTTTTGCCCTAAAACCCTCTCAGAAATGAGAGGAAGCCTGTGCCCAGCAGTGGGACTTATATAGGCTGTAACTTTAACTTTAGCTAGGCTATGTTTGGCTAGGAAAAGTCCGCCGCGCAGCCCTACTACTGCCTAATTTTTTTTAAATTTTACTACTTGTATGTTATCAATTCTAATAGAAAAGTAGTCATTTAATAAGTGTAAAAATATTCTAATTTTATTCAAGTACGCATAATAATATAAATTTCACAAAACTTCGACTTAGGTTTCTTTACAATGTGATAGCACTGATTTTAATTCACACTTCGCTGACTTTTCCAAACGATTACCTACATAAGGCTTAGGTTAGATCGTTAGTACAGTACAGAATGTACGAAGATAGACCGTTTCACTTGCACAACTTGATATCTCTTAGCTGAATTTAGTTGTGAAACAAGAAACCTCATCCCTGTTCTGAGCACCACAAAAAGGCGTCGGCGTAATCACTTGGAAATTTAAGGAAAGTGATATGTGTATAATATAATCAATATTTACAAAAAAACAAAAATTCCAAGTTTAAAAAAAAAAAAAACAATGTCATTGGTTTGAAACTAAATATATGTTTTACTTGGATAGCAACTATGTAATTTTTACTAATAAATAAAATTGATGGGTCTGTTTTTAATATTCATATAACTCGTTTCTGTTAGGCATCGCAGATTGTTTTGCACACTACTAAGACACAAACAATCTAATGATTTCTCAGTTTTATTCAACATAACACTTTTGACGTGGGAGAACCACGCTGCTACTATATTACAGTTGTAGCACGAAGGGGTCGGTTAGACCGAAGTAGGACCACGCTCTCACAGAATACCAGCGTAAAGTAGCAGCTTAATACTACTGTGTTTCGCATGGTGAGTGTAGAGTGTCGGAAAGCCTTTTTACTGGAAACAAGGCATTTCATCTTAATCCTCACTGGTGACAACGCATCAGCATTTTGATTCTTAATCGATTTATGTAGGTGTTTATGGGCCACAGCATCCACTTACCATCATGTGACTGTGTGCTCGTATGTCAGCCTATTCTATAAAAAAAAACATTAGTAAAATTTTTCTTAAAATTTTTGTTTTTCCGTCTGTCTGACTAGGCTCATGTATGGAATGGCAGAATCGATTGTGATGATAGTTTACAGATAGAGAGCAACGCCAGAAAGGATTAAAATTTAACCCAAAAAACTTGGACGTTTAAATAAAAACAAAAAATTATAAAATAAATACATAAAAGTCTTAAATCTAAACATCCTATAATATCGAGGCGAAACCGGGGCAACATTACTGTGGAAACAAATTCACACGTAATCGATGCCGTTCACGTAAATTTGACACACCTTTTTTATAGGGGCAAACGTTCATGCGATACCATCAGGCTCACCTGATGAAGTGTTGAAGTATTGTCCACCGCCCACGAACATGCGTTGCCGGCTTTTTAAAAGAGAGTAGGCTCTTTTCTTAAGTTCCCTAAGTCATATCGGTCCGGAAAAATCGCTGCTGGTAGTCGACTCCACAAGGAAGTTGCGTCATGAAGAAAACTTCTTGTGAATCGCACAGTGGTGGAACGCAAATCATCCAGATGGTATGGATGATACCAGGAGTTTGATCGCGATGTACGATGTTCAAATTGAGCGGCTGGAATTAGTCTGAACAATCTCTCAGAGCACTCACCGTTGTAACTAGTTACATTCCTCCGTGCCAGCACAATATTTTTATGAATCAGTTCATGGAATTATTTTTAAACCATAGGCAATAATCATATCTAAGTTTACATAAACCGTTTTTAAACCATAACGTAGTTTAGTTAAAAACAATATTTTTACGAATTGATTAAAACTACTTTTACGGATTTTATCGCGTTTATTTTACTTTTAATTATTTTTATTTTTAATTCCCGACGTTTCGGGCGCTTTCCAGCACCAAAGAACATATAGCTGATGTGAAGCATCAACGTTCCGGGAAGTCTGCAGTTTGTGATCATATCCTAGACGGCCCCAACCATTACATCAGATTTGATAGACCACAAAACCTCGCGAAAGAACATCGATTCCTACCAAGGATGATACGCGAGGCTATTGAAATTAAAAAACATCCTAATTTCAATAGAGAAGGAGGCTGGGTACTACCAGCTGCTTGGGATCCTATAATCAATAAAATTAAAACTAAACCCAAGCATACCACTGCAAGACCTTCAGACATAGTCAGTTCATTTTGTATAGATCGGACCAGAAACAATAATTAAAAAAGCTGAAGGTACTCCGGGTTTAACAATGACATCGAGACGTCAGTCATCTCAGTCCCCCGTGACCATGGGTGCTGGAAAGCGCCCGAAACGTCGGGAATTAAAAAATAAAAGTAATTAAAAGTAAAATAACCGCGATAAAATCCGTAAAAGTAGTTTTAATCAATGTGTAGTGCTCGCGTAAATATAAGAAATCATTATTTTTACGCAGTTTATTTCCGAGCGCGCGCTCGGTATAGCTAACGTATAACTTAATAACTTTCATTATGATACTCCCTCAGTCATTCGTGAGCTTATTAAAAATAAATTCATTTTTAAGGTTCCTCTTTAAGCTGGTGTTTAAAAACTTAAACCTGAATAAAATTATTATGCTATACTTACGACTCTTTTTTGCTATTGTGGGAGACATTGCCTCATGTTTAGCCTACATTAGTCGAGACTTCACAGATAAGATAGATAAGATAAGTAAATCTACAAACGTATAAAGGTGAAAAATAATTTTTTTTTGGAATTTATGATAGGACAAGAGCCACCCCCGCATTATAGGATCAATTGTACCAGGGCAACAGAGGTCTTTAGGAACTTGTGAATAATACGAGAAAATACAAGAGTAGCGGCTAAACGTTCAATTAGTGGTAAGCGTTGTGCTCTTTAAATTTGTATCATTGTAACAAGAGGCCGTAATGATCCGGTAGAAACGAAATGACTTTGTGTTTATTTTTAGGAGCACGCTTTGTTTTATTTTTTGCGTCCCGTACAATTTATTTACACTTATTTTTGCACTTGAACCGTCGTTTATAAATCAAGTGAGTCGTTTTCTGAAGCTTTAAAACAAAAACAAACTGAAAAATGTTTTAAGACGTTGATAATATGACGATAAGTTATGAATACTACTAATTTTCGCTCCAAAGTTTCGCTTTTTTTTTTAGAAATGTAATAAAGAAACATACAGCCCACCCTTTGAGTATTAACCAATTAATACTCAAAGAGCCCACCTGATAAAAGTGGATGCTGTGGCCTATAAAAACCCTACATCATATCTCGACCAAAAGTTAAAATGCAGGTGCGTTGTCACCCCTGATTATTATGGAATGCCTCGTTTCCAGTAAAAAGGCTCTCCAGTTTTCTACAGTCACCACACGAAACACAGCAGCATTAAGCTCCTATTTTATCGCTCTGAGAGCATGGTCCTTCCCTTGTAGACCAATGGGTCGACATTCGTGGCACAATCATAATATATTATATAGCGCTTACATTATATAAATAAACATCATCTGCGCCATAATGGTTTTGCTTAATCTGTATTCACCTGTTCTAAGATGTATTTATGTTATACTGAAACAAGTTTTATATTATTTGTATGTGAGGAGTAATTTTCTTTGTGAATTAAAATTAGTGATGTAAGTACCTATATCTAATAACAATTCTTAGCACTTCATGTTTATTAGTAAATTATTATTTCTCAGATTAAAGGTACGTTTTTAATGTTGGTAAGTAGTTTTAATGTAATTGAATTTAATCGATATTTTGCTCCAATTTTGCCAATGGAGGTGAGTGTATTTTTTTGGGTAAATAAATTTTTTTGTAATTTTTTATATTTTTTTTATACATATATAATAATATTTTATAGTTTTTTTTAATTTAGTGTAAGAGATAAAAATAATGATAAACTTACCCATTTGCCATTAACGGCTTTCATGGCGTTAAACAGCTGTTTGAGCTCCTTGACTGTGACACTATAACTCGCAAGTACGCCTAACATCTCGATGAGCAGGTCTGAAACAAAAAAAAATACAATTATTATCTAAACATTAATTTAATGTAATTTTAAGAAACACTGCGGGTTTTCAGTGATGACATATTAATCGGAGACGTGGTCTTTCAATGCTGCAAGGTCGATCAGCGAGCTAAGGGCAAGGTTATGCAGAGTTTATTTACGTGATAGACTTCAAAATGAGGGTATCCGCAGTAGAACCAGAATAAGCGACATGGCGCAACGGATCGATAAGCGAAGCAACAATCGACGACGTTCCTTAAGTGGAGCCTACTTTCATCAATGGAATTGTGATAGACTGTAATGATGAGGATGATAAAACATTATTATAAGCACTTTGTACGTGGTAGAGCTATATGGAGCTATATTAGTAGGAGAGTTGTAGCACGAATGTGTAGGCACGACTAGAGAAGGACCACGCTCTTACAGAATACCAGCGTAAAATAGCAGCTTAATGCCGCTGTGTTTCGTGAGGTGAGTGTAGAGAACCGGAGTTCCTCTTTACTGGAAACCAGGCATTCCATTTTAGTTCTAATGCATCTGCATTATGATTCGTAATCGAGGACAGATATAGATGTCTATAGGCCATAGCAACCACTTACCATCATGTGGACTGTGTGCTCGTTTGTCTCCAAACCTTATTAAAAATACTTCTTGTAATAAGGCAACTAATGTCTATCAAAAATCGTTCAGCAAACCCTGTACACAATACTGTATTGTAAAAATGTATGGATGATGGTAGCGTTCACCTCATTCCCCGGAGTTATTACCTAGGAATGAGGTGATCGCTATACCAATATACCAAGCTCTTTCTAATTTTTGTGGTATTAATTGTACAACACGGTAAAAAATTTTAATTGTTTTCTTTTAAGTCCTGTTGGTTTTTTTTTGGTTCTTCATATAGAACCGAGGTATTTTCCAGACCAGTGGTAATTTTTTTATAGAATTGGCTACAAACGACACACATTCACCTGATGGTTCCTACATCTACTCTTCTCCATTACAATCAAAATGCAGATGCGTTGTCACCCGTAACTGTCACCGTATATTAAAATGTTTAAAACTATTGGGTTCTATGAAGTCAGAGAGAAAACATAAATAACTATTTGTTTGTTTTTTTTTTGTAATTTATTGTATGTTTTGTCTGTTCTTCGGAATGACTGAATCGACTTTGATGAAACTTTACTAAAAGTTACATATACAGCAATGCCTTGAGGAACCTAGGCTGTTTTATTCGAAAAAATTGAAGATGTTTTTTTTGAAAAAAAAAAACAAAACCTAATAAAATAAATACCGATAATTTATATTAAATCTAAATAACGTCATAATATCCAGGCGAAACCAAGGCGAATCACAAGGTAAACATAAGAATAACGTTCAAGTATCTAATATTTATAATCTATTACAATTACAATTGTCGTAAGAGGCGATAGAGGGGAAAAAACAGGAGATTGGCAGCAGAATCATTCTGATAACAGCTAAAAAAACTGCTGTTGCCAACCCGCCTGCCAAGCGTGGCAACTGTGGCGAATCCCCCCTAGGGAATCTATATAGAAGGCCTATGTTCACCAGTGGACTTTTATACGTTGTAATATATAGGTTAAACTCTGATTTTTCATTCCGTAGAATTCTGACAGCTATCATTTTTTGACATGTCAGAGATTACAAACCTTTTTGGCCGGGCACATTTTTCAATTTCAATACGTGTCTGAACATCTGAGTCTATACATACATTTTATTTGTTAGTAAATGTATCCATTTTATTAAGTGCGGTACTCTACATGGTTTTACGGCGAGTGATAATTACGTCCCTTTTCATTACAAACAGTAAAAAATGCACAAGTAAAAATAACATATTTTTATTAAAATCTTTAGTCATCATTAATACTTATATCACTATCTTCATCATCGTCATCATCGCTGACATGAATTATTAAAGAGTCTGCGACTGTGTCAATGAAATCGTCGAGAGTGCACATCTTATCTTCTTCTTTGATTGTATGGCTGATACATTCTTGCCATTTATCAGGAGTAATACTACTTATACTTTCCAGTAATAGTTTTTTAACTTCCGCCATTTTAAAACTTCTGTTGTGTCTTGCGACATGCCCCTTCACTTGAGCCCACACCAATTCAATAGGGTTGAGCTCACAATGATATGGGGGCAGTCTAAGCACAGTAATGCCTTGTGCTGTGGCCATCTCGTCTACAATACACTGTTGATATTTGTATTTCTCCTGACCCACAATTTCCAATAAATTAACTTTTAGCATTTTTTCTTCAAAATTTAAATTTTTTGAAGTCAACCACGCTTGGATATCGCCTTTTCTCCATGCACTCGTTGGTACTTTTTCGACCTTCCTCGAATGATAGGGAGCATTATCCAACACTACTACCGAGTTTGGTTTTAATTTTGGAAGTATTTTTTGTGAACCACTCCTCAAATACTTCCCCAGTCATCTCCTTGTGGTAATCTGCCAAGCCTTTTTTTGCCTCAAAAACTAATAAACCATCTTCCAAAAATCCTTCTTCGCTCCCTATATGGCTAACTATAAGTCGCCCCCCTTTGCCTGTTGGTGCCTTAAGCCCTGTTGTCAAGCCATCGAGGAAAGCTTGTCGTGAAGATTGAATGTTGGTATCACACCACACTTTATTGACGGTATGTCCTGAAAATAAAAATATATTTAATATTTCACTTATACATGAGGACAGTTATATATGCATATAAATTGAAAAATATTACCTGTAAACATGGATTTCTTTATTTATTTATTCATTTTGGTAACAAAAATTTATTAACAAAGTTAATTTAAGTATTACATAAGTACAGAATTCGATTTCCGACTAATACTTTGAAGAAAAGATAGGTTATAAAAAGTTAATTACCACATAATTCAATACTTGCCTTCGTTTACCCACGTTTCATCCTGGTAATATATAAGCCTGCCTTCTCTTCTATATTGTTTAATTTGGTGCAAGTATTTTTGACGCCATAGTACTATCTCCTTGCGATCTGTTAGCGCACTTCGACGTTTGCGACTTGTGTATTTAAAATTTAAATGCTTCAATACTTTTCTTAATGTTGATTTCGACATAACAGGCATGTCTGGATCACCAGTTATCTCTTGGTGAATCTGAAATAAGCATTTACATTACAGTTAAAATGTAGACAGGCAACACAGGTTAAAGTATAGTTTTAAAACAATGGGGGGATGTCAGCAACGAGGTGTTAAAGAATTAGCAATAACTTTACCTTTTCAATAGTCGGAATCTCGTTCCTGTAGAAAAACGCGTGAACCTTTCGTCGAGTTGCGGCGAAAGTGAATTCGTCAAATTTTTGTATGAAAGATAGTTGAGGTCCACTCTTTTTCGGCTTTTGAAATTCTTTTGTGTCTTTATATTCTTTGGTAATTTTATAGACACTTGACAGACCCACGCCAGTCATCTCAGAAGTCTTTTTAGCACATTCCGTTGCACTCCAATCAGTTGTTTGCGGCCAATTTTCTATATTATATTTGTAAATATTTAGAATTATGGTCTTTTCGTTGGGCGTAAAAGCACCACGAGGACGCTTCTTTCTGGGAGAAAGAAAGTCTAAGCCTTGTGCTCTGTCAGATGGGGCTGCTTCCCGGGAAGGGGCCAGGTTGTGGCTCCATAACGTTTATAAAAATCAACAAACGATCACAAAACGAAAGGTCAACAAGAAAAAACTTAACAGAATAACAGAAACTTAACAAATATAACAAGATAATAACAACAAATAGCAGCAAACACCGAGAACACATGCGCATTCGAGCATTCAAAGAAGTCGAATGAAAATCAATCAATGTGACAGACGCGACGTGACAGCTAACATTTTTTTAAAAGGTTTTTTAAACCTGGAATTAGTAGACAGTGATGCCAGCTAAAGAATAAAATATTAAGTAATTAAAGTTAATTAGATATATTGTTCGTGATATTGAAATATTTGTTATTTTTGTATTAGGTGACTTGTATAAGTAAATATTTAGATTTACCTTTTTGTAGGTGAAACATAAAAAATACGTAGCATTTTATTATTTATTGCCCTCAAATGGTTCAAATTTGTCTCTTTTTCGGTGGAGAACTTTTTTAGTAGCAACACTTACGAAATGTCAGAATTCTACGGAATGAAAAATCAGAGTTTAGGTAGATTACAATTACTATGTTCCAAGATGTTCTCCATTACCGTTAGGGTTGCCCCCTTTATTTGAACAATTATAGTATTTTTCCCCAAAAAGGACGCAAAAATATAGTACTTTTGCGTAATTTCGGAAAAACAATGTACACATTTATTTTTAATCTTTATATCTGTACGTACTCAATACAAATATGAACATACTTTTCGATATACATACATTTGTTACAGCTCTGCTTTTTTATAGGATAGGGTGACAAACGAGCACACAGTTCACCTGATGGTAAGTGGTTGCTGTGCCCCATATCCATTTAAATCTATCCTCAATTACGTTCAAAATTCAGATGCGTTGTCACCCGTGAGGACTAAAGTGGAATGACTAGTCTCCATTAAAAAGGGTCTTCGGTTCTCTACACTCACCATACAAAACACAGCAGTATTAAGCTGTTATTTTACGCTGGTATTCTGTGAGAGCGTGGTCCTTCCCTGGTCGAACCGACCCATTCGTGCTACAACTATACTACTAATATAACAGCATCACGACTCTACCACGTATAAAATGAATGCTTTGGCCATCAATTTCCACCTGACTTTAAAATAATTATAGGATTTTGAGCAATTTAGCTTCATAACAAAATAAATTTAATATAAACTTTTAATTAAATTTTTATACGTGGTAGAGCCATGCTGCAATTATATTAGTAGTATAGTTGTAGCACGAATGGGTCGGCTCGACCGGGGAAGGACCACGCTCTCACAGAATACCAGCGTGAAATAGTAGCTTAATGCTGCTGTATTTCGTATGGTGAGTGTAGAGAACCGGAGACCCTTTTTACTGGAAATGAG